TCAATCAGATTCCAAACTCTCCACCATGGCCAAGACCAAAGAGCTCTCCAAGGATGTCAGGGACAAGATTGTAGAGGTGAGAAGGTGACAACAGTTGGTGCGATTATTCGCAAATGGAAGAAACACAAAAGAACTGTCAATCTCCCTTGGCCTGGGGCTCCATGCAAGATCTCACCTCGTGGAGTTGCAATGATCATGAGAAGCACCATCAAATCCATTATTTCAAAAATGGAAAGAATATGGCACCACAACAAACCTGCAAAGAGAGGGCCGCCCACCAAAACTCACGGACCAGGCAAGGAGGGCATTAATCAGAGGCAACAAAGAGACCAAAGATAACCCTGAAGGAGCTGCAAAGCTCCACAGCTGAGATTGGAGTATCTGTCCATAGGACCACTTTAAGTCGTACAGTCCACAGAGCTGGGCTTTATGGAAGAGTGGCCAGAAAAAAACCATTGCTTTAAGAAAAAAATAAGCAAACACGTTTGGTGTTCGCCAAAAGGCATGTGGGAGACTCCCCAAACATATGGAAGAAGGTACTCTGGTCAGATGAGACTAAAATTGAGCTTTTTGGCCATCAAGGAAAATACTATGTCTGGCGCAAACCCAACACCTCTCACCACCCCGAGAACACCATCCCCACAGTGAAGCATGGTGGTGGCAGCATCATGCTGTGGGGATGTTTTTCATCAGCAGGGACTGGGAAACTGGTCAGAATTAAAGGATTGACGGATGGCGCTAAATACAGGGAAATTATTGAGGGAAACCTGTTTCAGTCTTCCAGAGATTTGAGACTGGGACGGAGGTTCACCTTCCAGCAGGACAATGACCCTAAGCATACTGCTAAAGCAACACTCAAGTGGTTTAAGGGGAAACATTTAAATGTGTTTGGAATGGCCTAGTCAAAGCCCAGACCTCAATCCAATTGAGAATCTGTGGTATGACTTAAAGATTGCTGTACACCAGCGGAACCCATCCAACTTGAAGGAGCTGGAGCAGTTTTGCCTTGAAGAATGGGCAAAAATCTCAGTGGCTAGATGTGCCAAGCTTATAGAGACATACCCCAAGAGACTTGCAGCTGTAATTGCTGCAAAAGGTGGCTCTACAAAGTATTGACTTTGGGGGGGTGAATAGTTATGCACACTCAAGGTCTGTTTTTGTTGTCTTATTTCTTGTTTGTTTCAAATAAAAAATATTTTGCATCTTTTACATTACAGTCATTTAGCAGATGCTCTTATCCAGAGCAATTAGAGTTACGTGCCTTGCTCAAGGGCACATCAACAGATTTTTCACCTAGTCAGCTCGGGGATTAGAACCAGCGACCTTTCGGTTACTGTCACAACGCTCTTAACCTCTAAGCTACCTGCCGCCCAATCTTCAAAGTGGTAGGCATGTTAAAGGAAGTAGGCATGTTGTGTAAATCAAATGATACAAACCCCCCAAAAAAGGTCACATGATCAAGAGAACCTTTATAGGCCTTTAAATTAGATATTGTAGTCTATTGATTCATTTTTCTCTGTTAAAATCATAATTATATATGATGACTACTCATCTCATATGTATATACTGCATTCTATTCTATAATATTATTCTGTATCTTAGTCCATGCCGCTCTGTCATTGCTCTCATTGCTTGTCCATATATGTATATATTCTTGAATCCCATTCCTTACTTTTTTGTGTGTATTGGGTATATGTTGTGTAATTGTTAGATATTACTGCACTGTCGGAGCTAGAAGCATAAGCATTTCGCTACACCCGCTATAACATCTGCTAAACACGTGTATGTGACAAATAACATTTGACTTGATTTGATTTTATACACCCATTGACTCTAAACCTATGCAATATGTCCACCTGGCCCCTTTGCATCAGTATAACATGGATGCAGTACATATGCTAGCAGGCCTGGTGAAAAGCCTCCATGTATTTGTAATTGGGTGTTGTTATAAGGATAAACACTATCTACAATGTTTTGAGCACGTCAAGTGTTCACTGTGTGTTCCTGTGTGTGCGATGAGTGCCGTGTGTGTTTAACCGTGTGTGTTCAACACGTTTGTGTTGACTGACGTGGGTTCACAGTGATTTTAAACCTTGCCCCCACCACCTCTCACACACACACACATGTGGACACACTATTTCCTTGGTGGTCATGGATGCGGTGGTCTTTGAGACCCCTTTTCTGAAGCGTTCAGCCACAGTACTTAACACATGTCACTGCCCACCTTGTGCTCCTGAAAGGAAGGACAGATGTGTACGCTAATTGAGTGACAGCTTTACACAGAAACATGCAAACCTAAAATAAGCCTCTCTGCCCTCTCTGACTCACAGAATAATCCCAGGGACACTCAACACAAGGCCCTTTCCGCCTGGGTGAAATGTGTTTTTTCAAACCACAAATCAATGATAGAGTTTCAAGGTTTGGTTTATTTTCAGTCAAATTTACGTCAACCAAAACTGGATGATTCAACGTTTTTGTCCAGTGGGTTCCAGGATTTTACGTGTTAGTCTAAAGCATTACTATAGTCCACTCGCTCGCTTGCCCCTCTCTTTCTATCTTTTAGTGTCTCTCTCTCTCTTTCTTTCTTTTCTTTCTTTCTTTCTTTCTCTTTCTTTCTCTCTCTCGCTCTCGCTCGCTCTCTCTCTCATTTAAGGGGCTTTATTGGCATGGGAAACATATGTTTACATTGCCAAAGCAAGTGAAATACAGTGCTTTGCAAAAGTATTCATCCCCCTTGGAGTTTTTCCTATTTTGTTGCATTACAACCTGCAATTTATTTGGATTTCATGTAATGGACATACACAAAATAGTCCAAATTGGTGAAGTAAAATGAAAACAATAACGGAAAAGTGGTGCTTGCATATGTATTCACCCCCTTTGCTATGAAGCCACTCAATAAGATCTGGTGCAACCAATTACCTTCAGAAGTCACATAATTAGTTAAATAAAGTCCACCTGTGTGCAATTTAAGTGTCACATGATCTCAGTATATATACACCTGTTCTGAAAGGCCTAAGAGTCTGCAACACCACTAAGCAAGGGATACCACCAAGCAAGCGGCACCATGAAGACCAAGGAGCTCTCCAAACAAGTCAGGGACAAAGTTGTGGAGAAGTACAGATCAGGGTTGGTTATAATAGTCATCAATAACACTCTTGTCTGCAACCTTACTTTCATTTCTTTTGTACTCTATCAGCTCTGGATTTATGTACAGTTGCACCTCTTTCCTTTCCACCCTAGCTTTTGATGCAGCCCTATTTATTTCCTTATCTGCCAATCTTAATAACAAGAGGATTAGATTAATCAGATTGTTCTGTTATTTTTATTAATTAATTAATTGTTGTGGCCCATCCACCTCTTCAGAGGACAAAAATAAACCTTGTTTTTATAGCTTTTTCTTTTGTTACATGTACATTCTACACACATTTTACATACATGCCACAAATAAATAAATACATATACACTACCGTTCAAACGTGTAGGGTCACTAATGTCCTTGTTTCCGAAAGAAAAGCATTTTTTTTGTCCATTAAAATAACATCAAATTGATCAGAAATACAGTGTAGACATTGTTAATGTTGTAAATGGCTATTGTAGCTGGAAACTGCTGATTTTTATGGAATATCTACATAGGCGTACAGAGGCCCATTTATCAGCAACCAACAGATCTCGTACAATGCACTGTACTACTCCCTTCACAGAACAGCGCAAACTGTCTCTAACCAGAATAGAAAGAGGAGTGGGAGGCCCAGTGCAAAACTGAGCAAGAGGACAAATACATTAGTGTCTAGTTTGAGAAACAGGCGCCTCACAGGTCCTCAACTGGCAGCTTCATTAAATAGTACCCGCAAAACACCAGTCTCAACGTCAACAGTGAAGAGGCGACTCCGGGATGCTGATCTTCTACGCAGAGTTGCAAAGAAAAAGCCATATCTCAGACTGGCCAATAAAAAGGAAAGATTAAGATGGGCAGTCTGAGCTATGGCTTTTTCTTTGCAACTCTGCCTAGAAGGTCACTGTTGACGTTGACTGGTGTTTTGCGGGTACTATTTAATGAAGCTGCCAGTTGAGGACCTATGAGGCGCCTGTTTCTCAAACTAGACACTAATGTATTTGTCCTTGTCATGAATGTCTGTGGAATGCGGTAGGCCAGAGTCAAGCGCAGGACACAGAATGAAATGAAAATCTACTTTACTGAATAGTAAAGAAATAAGCAAAACCTCCAAACACAGGGAGGAGCAAACCCGCTCACAAACGACACTCGAACAAGTAACACACAACACACAGTGGGGGCGAACAGGTTAAATAGGGAATGACATAATACTATAATGGGAAACAGGTGCGCAACACTAGACAACAATCAGGTGAATATAGAAACATAAAACAGATCGGCAGCAGCTAGAATTCCGGTGACGACGAACGCCGTAGCCTGCCCGAACCAGAAGGAAGGGCAGTCTCGGCAGAATCCGTGACAGTCCTCTTGCTCAGTTGTGCACCGAGGCCTCCCACTCCTCTTTCTAGTCTGGTTAGAGCCAGTTTGCGCTGTTCTGTGAAGGGAGTAGTACACAGCGTTGTACGAGATCTTCAGTTTCTTGGAAATGTCTTGCATAGAATAGCCTTAATTTCTTGCGTTTTCTGTGGGCCTGAAAAATAAATGCCTGGAATGTAAAATAACCAGGTCCCATGCTTTTAAAATAACGGTTATGTTCCGGAACAGTGTAGATCACTTTCTTTCACTGTTCTGATTCTGTTCCTCAAAAAAGTATATTGTTTTCTGTTCTGTTCCCTGAACTTGTTCCAACCCCTGCTATACATACAGTAGGCAATGGTGATCACAGTACCAGATTGGACTTATATAAGGGTTTGGGAGTACAGTTAAGTTTAGGGGGTAGCACACCCTACTTAATGGCAACAGGTCAGCTTTAGTTTTATGGTTCAGTGGAGTTGACACAGTGAAATAACTCTAACTTTTCTGTCATGCTTTTCTAGGGCTGAACACCATGGCAACCTCCCACATTCTCTTCATCTGCCTCCTCCTCATCCTTGCAGTTTTATCGCAGGAGCCGTCCACCTCTAAACAAGGTACCTTTTGATCAATGATGAACCAGACCAAACCAGAGGGGCTTTCCTTTCATGGGACGATCAATACTGACCTAAACGATTCCTAGAAGTCAAGTACTTCCTTTCCATGTAGAATTCCTACTAAGGCCAGTATAGTATATACACTATGTATGGCTGGTATACATTACATATGGGTACACACCAGGGGGTATCATCATACTGTGGGTACACACTATGGGTACACACCATGGGTATCATCACACTTTAACTGCGTGGCACACATTTAAGTAAACTCTCAGAGGAATAGATCACTGATATACAGTATGAATGATCTCATTACTCACTCTGGTTTAAATGTTACATAAATAATTAAATATAGCCGTTATTTGTGAAAACTCTATAATATGCTTTATGATAATGCAATGGCACTGTGTAGTGTATTTTACAGACTAATACAATATCTTAGAACACGTGCTCTAAATAAGCATGCATGCATGGGCACATACAGTGAGGGAAAAAGTATTTGATCCCCTGCTGATTTTGTACTTTTGCCCACTGACAAAGACATGATCAGTCTATAATTTTAATGGTAGGTTTATTTGAATAGTGAGAGACAGAATAACAACAAAATTATCCAGAAAAACGCACGTCAAAAATGTTATAAATTGATTTGCATTTTAATGAGGGAAATAAGTATTTGACCCCTCTGCAAAACATTACTTGGTACTTGGTGGCAAAACCCTTGTTGGCAATCACAGAGGTCAGACGTTTCTTGTAGTTGGCCACCAGGTTTGCACACATCTCAGGAGGGATTTTGTTCCACTCCTCTTTGCAGATCTTCTCCAAGCCATTAAGGTTTCGAGGCTGACGTTTGGCAACTCGAACCTTCAGCTCCCTCCATATATTTTCTATGGGATTAAGGTCTGGAGACTGGCTAGGCCACTCCAGGACCTTAATGTGCTTCTTCTTGAGCCACTCCTTTGTTGCCTTGGCCGTGTGTTTTGGGTCATTGTCATGCTGGAATACCCATCCACGACCCATTTTCAATGCCCTGGCTGAGGGAAGGAGGTTCTCACCCAAGATTTGACGGTACATGGCCCCATCCATCGTCCTTTTGATGCGGTGAAGTTGTCCTGTCCCCTTAGCAGAAAAACACCCCCAAAGCATAATGTTTCCACCTCCATGTTTGACGGTGGGGATGGTGTTCTTGGGGTCATAGGCAGCATTCCTCCTCCTCCAAACACGGCGAGTTAAGTTGATGCCAAAGAGCTCGATTTTGGTCTCATCTGACCACAACACTTTCACCCAGTTCTCCTCTGAATCATTCAGATGTTCATTGGCAAACTTCAGACAGCCCTGTATATGTGCTTTCTTGTGCAGGGGGACCTTGCGGGCCCTGCAGGATTGCAGTCCTTTACGGCGTAGTGTGTTACCAATTGTTTTTTTGGTGACTATGGTCCCAGCTGCCTTGAGATCATTGACAAGATCCTCCCGTGTAGTTCTGGGCTGATTCCTCACCGTTCTCATGATCATTGCAACTCCACGAGGTGAGATATTGCATGGAGCCCCAGGCCAAGGGAGATTGACAGTTCTTTTGTGTTTCTTCCATTTGCGAATAATCGCACCAACTGTTGTCACCTTCTCACCAAGCTGCTTGGCGATGGTCTTGTAGCCCATTCCAGCCTTGTGTAGGTCTACAATCTTGTCCCTGACATCCTTGGAGAGCTCTTTGGTCTTGGCCATGGTGGAGAGTTTGGAATCTGATTGATTGATTGCTTCTGTGGACAGGTGTCTTTTATATAGGTAACAAGCTGAGATTAGGAGCAGTCCCTTTAAGAGTGTTCTCCTAATCTCAGCTCGTTTCCTGTATAAAAGACACCTGGGAGCCAGAAATCTTTTTGATTGAGAGGGGGTCAAATACTTATTTCCCTCATTAAAATGCAAATCAATTTATAACATTTTTGACATGCGTTTTTCTGGATTTCTTTGTTGTTATTCAGTCTCTCACTATTCAAATAAACCTACCATTAAAATTATAGACTGATCATTTCTTTGTCAGTGGGCAAACGTACAAAATCAGCAGGGGATCAAATACTTTTTTCCCTCACTGTATCGAGTTCTTCCCAGGAACTGGATTTCCAAGAATTCTGGAGGGGGCAGTGTGGGAGCGGTGAGTGGTACACTGTGGGAAACTGTTTAGATATTCAGACTCCCCCTCTCAACAGATGGAGCGTTGGAATGGAAAACGTTTGAGTGCAGGAAGTTCTATTCCTAGGTGGTTCAGGCCTTTATGATGAAGTCACATTTCTCCTAAGTGTTTCTTCGTGTTACACAACATTAACACGTTATATAACTATTTAGCGCCGATGGATGGAATAGAAGCTTTCACTCTACCGTGAGTCTCTTTTGTCTCTGATTTTTATAGGCTTTGGCAGTGGTGCTTTGACAGTTATTCTGTTTCCAGTAAGTGGTACTTCACACAGGCAGAATGGGTGAAAGGATTTGAGTTCCCAGCCAAAAATATAAGAGATTTTATTTTTCTGAGAATCAGCAGTACTCTGTCTGAGAGAAACAGATGGACCTAGAACAGTGCAGGCCGAGGGGACACTTTGCCAGCTCACGCACACAGATAGAAAATACAACTTTTCAATGCTTCCCATGCTGGAGCAAACCCAAGTTTTTTTCCTCACAGAGCTTTAAAGATGTTCAATTGAAGCGGACAACCTTGGTTGCAGCTACTGCTTTAAAGTGTCCACATAAGTAGCTACAATATATAACACCAGCTGTCCTTCACTCAAGCGTTCCTCTACCATAGGTGGGAAAATGTTCACTTTGCACATGTAATTGCCTTTGATTTCTGGAACAAACAGAACAGGTAAATGCTCGGTGTACATTTATGTGAGATGCATATTTATTTTTATACACTATCTTGTGAATTACTCTCTGACATTAGGACTGAAAAGTCAAAACATTCATCCTGACTTTAATCAAAGGGAAGGAGAGGGTTGTGTTTGTTCGGCTGCTGTGTAATAGGAGATAGGGAGGGAAGAAATTGGTGTTTTAATGCGCAGGGTGTTTTAATACACACGTTACACAAACATCACTCCAAATGAGGAGAAACAACATCAATAGAGGTTGTTAAGGCAATAGCACCATCCCTTTCATCTGTATAATTGTGTATGTGTATCTGGCATACGTCAGTGACGTAAATAGGAGAGAGAAAATAGTGAATTAGACTCTATAAAGCACGTGTCAAACTCATTACACGGAGGGCCGAGTGTCTGCAGGTTTTTCGCTCCTACCATGTACCTGATTGATGATTTAAGGTCACTAATTAGTAAGGAACTCCCCTCACTGGTTGTCTACAGTGAGGGAAAAAAGTATTTGATCCCCTGCTGATTTTGTACGTTTGCCCACTGACAAAGACATGATCAGTCTATAATTTTAATGGTAGGTTTATTTGAACAGTGAGAGACAGAATAACAACAAAAAAATCCTGAAACGCATGTCAAAAATGTTATAAGTTGATTTGCATTTTAATGAGGGAAATAAGTATTTGACCCCTCTGCAAAACATGACTTAGTACTTGGTGGCAAAACCCTTGTTTGCAATCACAGAGGTCAGACGTTTCTTGTAGTTGGCCACCAGGTTTGCACACATCTCAGGAGGGATTTTGTCCCACTCCTCTTTGCAGATCTTCTCCAAGTCATTAAGGTTTCGAGGCTGACGTTTGGCAACTCGAACCTTCAGCTCCCTCCGCAGATTCTCTATGGGATTAAGGTCTGGAGACTGGCTAGGCCACTCCAGGACCTTAATGTGCTTCTTCTTGAGCCACTCCTTTGTTGCCTTGTCGTGTGTTTTGGGTCATTGTCATGCTGGAATACCCATCCACGACCCATTTTCAATGCCCTGGCTGAGGGAAGGAGGTTCTCACCCAAGATTTGACTGTACATGGCCCCGTCCATCGTCCCTTTTGATGCGGTGAAGTTGTCCTGTCCCCTTAGCAGAAAAACACCCCCAAAGCATAATGTTTCCACCTCCATGTTTGATGGTGGGGATGGTGTTCTTGGGGTCATAGGCAGCATTCCTCCTCCTCCAAACACGGCGAGTTGAGTTGATGCCAAAGAGCTCGATTTTGGTCTCATCTGACCACAACACTTTCACCCAGTTCTCCTCTGAATCATTCAGATGTTCATTGGCAATCTTCAGACGGGCCTGTATATGTGCTTTCTTGAGCAGGGGGACCTTGCGGGCGCTGCAGGATTTCAGTCCTTCACGGCGTAGTGTGTTACCAATTGTTTTCTTGGTGACTATGGTCCCAGCTGCCTTGAGATCATTGACAAGATCCTCCTGAGTAGTTCTGGGCTGATTCCTCACCGTTCTCATGATCATTGCAACTCCACGAGGTGAGATCTTGCATGGAGCCCCAGGCCGAGGGAGATTGACAATTATTTTGTGTTTCTTCCATTTGCTAATAATCGCACCAACTGTTGTCACCTTCTCACCAAGCTGCCTGGCGATGGTCTTGTAGCCCATTACAGCCTTTTGTAGTTCTACAATCTTGTCCCTGACATCCTTGGAGAGCTCTTTGGTCTTGGCCATGGTGGAGAGTTTGGAATCTGATTGATTGCTTCTGTGGACAGGTGTCTTTTTATACAGGTAACAAGCTGAGATTAGGAGCACTCCCTTTAAGAGTGTTCTCCTAATCTCAGCTCGTTACCTGTATAAAAGACACCTGGGAGCCAGAAATCTTTCTGATTGAGAGGGGGTCAAATACTTATTTCCCTCATTAACATGCAAATCAATTTATAACATTTTTGACATGCATTTTTCTGTATTTTTTGTTGTTGTGATTCTGTCTCTCACTGTTCAAATAAACCTACCTTTAAAATTATAGACTGATAATTTCTTTGTCAGTGGGCAAACGTACAAAATCAGCAGGGGATCAAATACTTTTTTCCCTCACTGTAGGTCTTAATTGAAAGGAAAAACCAGCAGACTCTAGCCCCTCCATGGAATGAGTTTGACACCCCTGCTATAAAACATATAGTGCTAGCACTCATCGCATGTGTACTCTACAGGGAATTACTTTATGCATTTAGAAATCCCTTGATTAATACAGCCATTTCCTTCCTCCATTCCTCCTATTACACAGCAGCCGATCAAACACAACCCTCTCTTTCCCTTTGATTAAAGTCATAATGAATGTTTTGAATTTTGAGTCCTAGTGTGAGAGATGAGTAGGCTAATTTACGAGATAGTAGAGGACATTTTGTATCAGAAGTGGAGGACGTTTTGTAAAAGAGTTCTGGAACACTAGAATAACTGTAGCCCAAATTTATATCTTACTCTTGTTTTCTTGGAAAGGTCGGTTTAAAGTTAGCTTCAACGTCCTGTTGGATCCAGTGATATCTGCTGCGCACATGTTGTGAAAACAAATGACCTAAACTTGTCAGACACTAAGCAAACTACACATTAAAGAACATTCAAGAACATTCACAAGGACTCACATACACATGCAAATTTATATTCTGAAAATATTAAGTCAAAATGGGGAGTCTGGATGTAGTAGGAGATGTAGAGTCACAATTTGTGCACAACACACACACACACACACCACCTGTCCTGAATCCTCATCAGTCACGAGCTAGTATGAAACACTTGAGAGTTGCCAAGTGTTGGATTGATTTTTCCTTTTAATTCCGAGGAAGTTCCTGGTAGAAAAGGATCTGGTAAACAGGTTATTTTTAACCTTTGGCCACCCTGATGAGCTGCTAACCAAGCCAGTGGTATGCATTTCTCCTCAGCTGCCATCTCCCTAGGCGCCAGGGCCCTTCAACCTGCTGTTGTGCTGTCCCTCTCAGCGGTGTTGATGTGGCACATTATGGGAGATGGTACAAATTATTGAAGGACCTAAGTGCCTCCTCAGGGCTATGAACAAACAGGAGTGTTTACTTAAAGCTCCCCTCTCTCTGGCAACACATTAATATAATAATGTACTATAGTACAGACAGACCAGGACAGCGCTTGCCTGGTGTGTCATATTGCTGTCATAAACAAGTAAATGATCATTTATCTTTCCTACAGCTTATTTATTGCTTCCTTTATTGCCCCTAGGAGCAGAAGGTAATACGTTGCATCATATTACAGCGTTTTAGGTGTAGTAGTAATTGGCTTCAGAGAAAATCGTTCCAATTGCACTATTTTATTGCCAGCTGTCATTTTCCTGCAGATACAGCAGATCTCTGAACACTTACTTTGAGTGGAGGTTTCATGCAGTGTTCTATGTAAGGACAGATGATGGCAGGGATTTCCCCGAAATTCCTGTGGGTGGTAAAGTCTGGCTGACAGATTTAGAGAGGTCTGCGGAAACTTCCAGGAAAATGTAGCTGTCCGCCATGAGGCTACGCCACTCAGAGGAGTTAAGTTACGCTCTGTTTGTCTTACACAGGCATAGGTCGACTAGACTGGGTGTGTGTTAATGTTTTAAGTTCGTGTTTTGACTGTTGAAAGTCTATATAGACTGTGTGCTCACCTCTTTCCCTCCCTCTCAGCCCGCCCCCAGATCACTGGCTGTGTCTCCCATGACATGAACACCTTCCGCTGCAGATGGAATGTCGGAGCAGCAGAACCCAGAGACCTGCGGATGTTCTACTACATTAATGATAAGAAGTGAGTGAAAAAAGGTTCCGTAAGTAAGGGAGAGATAAAGATTCTGAGGGCTGAAATGAAATACAGAACACACTGTTGAGATCCCAAAATGTTTTTCTTCTGAAATAATTTGTAGTTCTTAACTGTATGTGAGTCTCTCCCTCTTACCTAAATTATGTCAGGTGCATGATGTAAGTCTTTCCTGCAATCAGCACAGTATTAAAAACCCCATGTTGTCTCCCTATGCCTGCAGTATATCTCCCAAAGAGTGGGGTGAATGTCCTCACTACGCTGACAGTACAGATGAGTGCTTCTTCAATGAACGCTACACAAAGGTCTGGATGACCTACAGTGTCCAGCTCCGCTCTGGAGATCAGGACATTCTCTATGACGAGGTCATCTTCACCGTGGAAGACATCGGTTAGCCTGGCCTCTGACCTCCTAAACCACAGTCACTCCTCCATTCATAGCTACCTATAGCTACCCTACTGTCACCTGTCTGTCCTCTGTCTGCCTCTACACATCTCCCAAAATGTAAACCCTAATCACTTTTTTATCATTGGAAATTGAAATGTGTAAATACTGAATTGTAAACAGTGAGTATTTTCAAACATTAGGAACCCCCCCAAAAATAAATAAATACTGTAACAAAAGCGTTCCACAGGGATGCTGGCCCAGGTTGACTCCAATGCTTCCCACATTTGTGTCAAGTTGGCTGGATGTCCTTTGGGTGGTGGACCATTCTTGAAACACACAGGAAGCTGTTGAGCGTGAAAACCCCAGCAGCGTTGCAGCTCTTGACACACTCAAACCGGTCCGCCTGCCACCTACTACCATCAAAGGCACTTAAATATGTTGTCTTGCCAATTCATCCTCGGAATGGCACACATACACAATCCATGTCTAAATTGTCTCAAGGCTTAAAAATCCTTCTTTAACCTGTCTCCTCCCCTTCATCTACACTGATTTGAAGTGGATGTAATGAGTGATATCAATAAGGGCTCTCTAGCAAATTAGTTAGATTGTCTCACCCCATGTTCAAGAATGGCCTTTTTTCCCTTTATTCAGATTACAACCACTCACTTTCAGTTATTTGAAAAGGAAATAATCTCCCAAATATCACTATTTCTAAAACAAGCCATAGAAAGTTGGTTGCAATTTCAATTTAATCCTCCAGAAACAACAGAACAAATAATGCAACAAATATTGTGGTTAAACTCAAATATACTAATTGATAATAAAAAAACATTATTTTTTGAAAAAGTTTTTAAAAGGTATAATCTTCGTAAATTATATCATAGGTAGGACTGGTGGAGTTATGTCACACATGCAGCTAACAAAAACAAATGGAAATGTCTGCTCTACCCAAAATTACAACCAAATAATTGCAGCATTACCTCAAAAATGGAAGATGAAAGTGGAAGGGGGAAAAAGTAAGGAACTTGTCTGTCAGCCCTGCATTAAATAACATAATTGGTTAAAGTATACCAGTTTCATTTAAGGACCAAAGGTTTGACAGCCGTCCCATATAGATTGCAAAATAGTGGGAAGAGATTTGTGACGTACCGATTCCATGACATAGTGTTAATGAACTGATATGCAAAACGACGCCGGATTCAAAACTTAGAATTTTCCAATTTCAATTATTATACAGCATTCTTGCCACCAATATAATGTTATTTATATGGGGGATACAATCTTCCCAGCTCTGCAGATTTTGCTGCGAAGAGACAATCATTAGATCATTTGTTTTGGGACTGTCCATTTGTAGCTTGTTTTTGGTCACAGGTCCAGGAATGGCTGAAGGATTGCAATATTTACCTGGAGCTAACCCTGCAGATAGCACTACTGGGTGATTTGAAAAGTCATAGTCAATCGATCAATAATGTAATAATACTTTTAGGAAAAACATTTATTTTCAATTTACAATCTGTAGAAACAATGACAATAGAAGGGTTCAGAACTTTTATGAAACTGCACAGTACAGTTGAAAAATATATGGCAAATAGAAATCCAACATGGTTGGTGTTAAGAGACAGATGGGAGGTGTTGAATGGAGCTGAAGGATGGGACTAATAACAACTAACAACAACTAATAACAGGATAACTAATGTGAAGCATACTATGTCCATAATAAGTATATAGGTTATAGGTTGAGAGCTTTTGTGAAAGAGCACAGTTAAAAAGATATGGCATATAGAAGCAAACTGGATGGTCATCATGAAAATGATAGAGATTGAGGGTAGAGGAAGTTCAGGAGTAAAAACAAACAAAATATAATTATTGTAAAATTGACAGTGTCGTTCACTAGTTTACTCCAATTAGGGGAGGGGTGGTGGGGTTGGAAAGTAATAAAGGGACATTTATTTTTTTAAAGGATATGTATATATATGTATGTACAGTGGGGGAAAAAAGTATTTAGTCAGCCACCAATTGTGCAAGTTCTCCCACTTAAAAAGATGAGAGAGGTCTGTAATTTTCATCATAGGTACACGTCAACTATGACAGACAAAATGAGAAAAATAAATCCAGAAAATCACATTGTAGGATTTTTTATGAATTTATTTGCAAATTATGGTGGAAAATAAGTATTTGGTCAATAACAAAAGTTTCTCAATACTTTGTTATATACCCTTTGTTGGCAATGACACAGGTCAAAAGTTTTCTGTAAGTCTTCACAAGGTTTTCACACACTGTTGCTGGTATTTTGGCCCATTCCTCCATGCAGATCTCCTCTAGAGCAGTGATGTTTTGGGGCTGTCGCTGGGCAACACGGACTTTCAACTCCCTCCAAAGATTTTCTATGGGGTTGAGATCTGGAGACTGGTTAGGCCACTCCAGGACCTTGAAATGCTTCTTACGAAGCCACTACTTCGTTGCCCGGGCGGTTTGGGATCATTGTCATGCTGAAAGACCCAGCCACGTTTCATCTTCAATGCCGTTGCTGATGGAAGGAGGTTTTCACTCAAAATCTCACGATACATGGCCCCCCCATTCATTCTTTCCTTTATACGGATCAGTCGTCCTGGTCCCTTTGCAGAAAAACAGCCCCAAAGCATGATGTTTCCACCCCCATGCTTCACAGTAGGTATGGTGTTCTTTGGATGCAACTCAGCATTCTTTGTCCTCCAAACACGACGAGTTGAGTTTTTACCAAAAAGTTATATTTTGGTTTCATCTGACCATATGACATTCTCCCAATCCTCTTCTGGATCATCCAAATGCACTCTAGCAAACTTCAGACGGGCCTGGACATGTACTGGCTTAAGCAGGGGGACACGTCTGGCACTGCAGGATTTGAGTCCCTGGCGGCATAGTGTGTTACTGATGGTAGGCTTTGTTACTTTGGTCCCAGCTCTCTGCAGGTCATTCACTAAGTCCCCCCGTGTGGTTCTGGGATTTTTGCTCACCATTCTTGTGATCATTTTGACCCCACGGGGTGAGATCTTGCATGGAGCCCCAGATCGAGGGAGATTATCAGTGGTCTTGTATGTCTTCCATTTCCTAATAATTGCTCCCACAGTTGATTTCTTAAAACCAAGCTGCTTACCTTTTGCAGATTCAGTCTTCCCAGCCTGGTGCAGGTCTACAATTTTGTTTCTGGTGTCCTTTGACAGCTCTTTGGTCTTGGCCATAGTGGAGTTTGGAGTGTGACTGTTTGAGGTTGTGGACAGGTGTCTTTTATACTGATAACAAGTTCAAACAGGTGCCATTAATACAGGTAACGAGTGGAGGACAGAGGAGCCTCTTAAAGAAGAAGTTACAGGTCTGTGAGAGCCAGAAATCTTGCTTGTTTGTAGGTGACCAAATACTTATTTTCCACCATAATTTGCAAATAAATTCATTAAAAATCCTACAATGTGATTTTCTGGAATTTTTTTACTCAATTTGTCTGTCATAGTTGACGTGTACCTATGATGAAAATTACAGGCCTCTCTCATCTTTTTAAGTGGGAGAACTTGCACAATTGGTGGCTGACTAAATACTTTTTTTTCCCCACTGTATGTATTTATATGTATGTATTTATATGTATGTATGTATGTGTGTGTGTGTGTATGTATGTGTATCTCTCCCGAGTGGCGCAGTGGTCTAAGGCACTGCATCGCAGTGCTAGCTGTGCCACTAGAGATCCTGGTTCGAATCCAGGCTCTGTCGTAGCCGGCCGCGACCGGGAGACCCATGGGGCGGCGCACAATTGGCCCAGGGTAGGGGAGGGAATGGCCGGCAGGTAGCTCAGTTGGTAGAGCATGGCGTTTGCAACGCCAGGGTTGTGGGTTTGATTCCCACAGGGGGCCAGTATGAAAAATAAAAAATAAAGAATGTATGCACTCACTAACTGTAAGTCGCTCTGGATAAGAGCGTCTGCTAAATGACTAAAATGTAAATGTATATATATGCAAGAAAAAATATATATGTGGGGATTGGAAGTGATGCAGTCAATTACATTGATGGAAGTTACAATCTATCTGCAATATTAAAGCTGATCTACCCCAAAGAAGAAAAACAAAAACAATTTTTTTTTTTTAATTACCTTATTTTCCGCACTATAAGGCGCACGGATTATAAGGCGCACCTTCAATGAATGGCCTGTTTTAGAACTGTTTTCATATATAGGGCGCACCGGATTATAAGGCACATAGAATAGAAGATACTGTAGTCAAACGTTTGACTGGGTTTGCGTTATGCATCCACTAGATGGAGCTGTGCTAAAGGGATGTCAACAAAACAGTCAGATAAAGTCAAACTTTATTAAGCGTTCTGACAACTCCGTTCACTCCCTTGGTAACGTTGTTCAAACGTTAATGTGCATATTAACAATATCTCCCAGCCTTGCTCACTCTTCTCCCAAACGTGGAAGGGAACTTTTCCCTGATTCGGTATACACGTAGTAAAAGAAACAGTCTGATACCACTAAATCAAACGTTAGTGCATAACTCAACATTGTTCAGTTACGTATAACACGTAAAGCTCACTTTTTCAGTTCATTCCCTGTCCACGAATCCCTCGAATTCTTCTCTTCAGTGTCCGAATTGAACGGAAACTCTGTTTAGTCTTCTTTACTTGGCGCAGGTCATCTTCTTGCTTCCTCCACTTCCGTACCATTGATTCATTAATGTTGAATTCTCTCGCTGCTGCTCTATTCCCATATTCTACTGCGTGACCGACAGCCTTGAGCTTGACCTCTGCGTCGTAAGCGTCTCTTGAAAGGTGCCATTTTGGGGTCTTTATACACACACAAGTGGTGTGGGACTGTGAGTAAGCACAGTACCGGTGTTTACTGACTACGGTAGCCGTAATGCTGCAAGCGGTGCGGCTTTGTAGTTTACCAGTCGTACTGAAACATTTCATTATTATTAAATTGTTTTTATTGGTTTTTCATACTGAAACATTTTGACAGAGTGCCTTGAGCGCCGTGTACAACCAGTATGGATCAACCAATTAACCAATTGATCCATATATAAGGCGCTCCGGATTATAAGGCGCACTGTCGTTTTTTTAGAAAATTAAAGGATTTTAAGTGTGCCTTATAGTGCGGAAAATACGGTAGTAGAAATGTACAAACAAAAAATAAATAAGGGCTCATAACTTTCACCTGGATTCACGTGGTCAGTCTTTGTCATGGAAAGAGCAGGTGTTCTTAATGTTTTGTATACTCTGTGTGTACGGTATATATAGCCTAATTATATAGCCTCATTGTGTAGATATACTACATTTTTGATATGCCATTCAGCATTTCAAGTGGTGAACCTAATGTTGTTTTAAATGTGTTCCAGTGGAACCAGACCCTCCAATAGCGCTGAACTGGACCCTGTTGAATGTGGGTCTAACCGGGAGCCACTTTGACATCATGTTGAGCTGGGAACCACCGCACTCCGCAGATGTGTCGATGGGCTGGATGACGCTACAGTACGAGGTGCAGTACCGCGAGGTCAACTCAACACTGTGGAGGACGGTGAGTCCCAGCCCTGGCCCTTATGCATAGGGCTGGGTCAGGAGTTCTTCCTGACTCCGTGATTAGACCAGGAAAAACTCCTGGCCCCACCTATACCCCTTCTATGTTTGACTCTTTCGGTCAGACTGTTGCAGATCACACCATTGGGTCATTTCAGAATCTACATTAGCAATAAAGATTAAATGTAGTGTTCCAGTGTTAATATAAACCTTTCTCTGGACGTACAGTACCTAATGAGACTGTGCGGTCCAGATTATTTTGACCTGACCAAATTTTACTGCATTATTTAAAGATAATTTCAGTGAATAATATAATGACCTAATAATCAAAAGTCTTATGCCTCCTCCCACATTGTAATTTAGAACAAACTGCCTCTTTCCCAGGGCAGTCTGCCGTGTCATTCTCCCTCTCACGTTATATCCCTCCATGCAACGGAACATGAATCTTGGGGGTAATCTACCAAAGTGACATACCAAGGCTCTACTGCTTTTAAGTTGATTCATGCCTTTATATGACATGATATATTTCTCAAGGTGACTTATCCTCAGCTAAACTCTAAGCAGCGTGCCCCTTAAACCAAATCACATGGATTAAACCTGCAGGTGTAAGTTATGTCTCGTCTTATTGTGTGGGTGATATTCACTAACTAACTGGTGTAAAACCTCTCTGTTTTGACTGCAACCCTAGGTGGACCATGAAAAGGGAATGCAGCGATCGCTATACGGGCTGCGCACCAACACAGACAATGAGGTCAGGGTGAGGTGCAAGATGCTGGCATCCCGTAACTTTGGGGAATTCAGCGACTCCATATTCATACACATCCCCACTAAAGGTACTGACGTATTGTTTTTATATACTGTCATATAAAATGTTGCTGTTATAACATGTATGATGTCTCTGTTTTGAATCGTATTAATTGCTTTCTATATATTAATATGTGCTCAGAGTCCAGACTTCCAGTTACTGTCCTGCTTGTCTTTGCTGCTTTGGGTTTGGCAGTCATCCTAATGCTGGTAATATATTCCCAGCAACAGAAGTAAGAGACTCACTTTTACCTTTCACTTTATCTTAAAATACATTTGTTCAACCTCTTCATAAAAATGTGCAAGTCTAATGCTACATGTCTTTTTAATAACGCTTCCTCTATCTTTCTTCAAGGTTGATGGTGATTCTGCTGCCTCCAATTCCTGGTCCCAAAATCAAAGGCATCGACCCAGAGCTCCTTAAAGTATTAACTTAACACAGTGAAAAATACCTAAAATTCTTTACTTGCACCATTAAAACCATTGCCACTAGAGTTTTGTGGGGTGGCAATATGAAGTACTAGCAAGGTTGTAATAAGTGTATGTTGCCCCTTTAAACTAACTCTGAGGTATTATCTGTTGTTGACTATAGAAAGGTAAGTTGGCTGAGCTGACCTCCATCCTGGGCTGCCACCCTGACCTGAGGCCAGAGCTGTACAGCGACGACCCCTGGGTGGAGTTCATCGAGCTGGACATGGAGAAACCCAACGACAGGCTGACTGTGCTGGACACCCAATGCTTGATGAACGACTGTGCCTCCTCAAACTGTCCTCCTATCACCATTGGCTTCAGGGATGACGACTCGGGCCGGGCCAGCTGCTGTGACCCTGATCTGCCTGACCCAGAGGCCTCCCCCTTCCACTCCCTCCTCTCCAACACCAGCCGCTCCCTGGAGCCCTCTGGCCTGGCCAGCTCCCCAGTCCAGACCCCCACCACTGAGGTTTCTCCCTGGGCCGTCCCTGGCAGGGAGGACCTCTACACCAAGGTGAATGAGGTGAGACCCACTGGTGAAGTGCTGCTGACACCTGAGGAGCAGAGCAAGGTGGAGGAGAATGCAGAGGAGAAGGATGAGAAGGAGAAAGAGAAGAAGAGGAGGGAGTTTCAGCTGCTGGTGGTGAATGCTGATGTGGGAGGCTACACCTCAGAGTTAGATGCTGGGAAGATGAGTGCAAGACCCACCACTGGGAGAGCCAGCCAGCCTGCTCCAACGGAGGACAGTAGTCTTGTGCAGGGACAGTGCTTCGGGGAGTACCAGAGCCTGTACTTTGAGGCTGAAATGCCCCCCATTCCACCTGCCTCTCCCATCTCCCCACTGCCCCCTGTCTCTGCCTACACCATGGTGGAGGGAGTGGACAGGCAGAACAGCCTCCTTCTGAAGCCCAGCTCCCCACCTGCACCCCAGCCAGTCCTAACCAAGCAGCCCCTGCCCACACCTACACCAGAGGGTTACCTGACCCCTGACCTACTGGGCAACATTACACCATAACTCAGAGGTGTAGAGACTATGCCAGTCATTAGTGATTGGACACAGATCAGAGGTGGCATGGGAATTCAGTGCCTGAGTGACTAGACATCAAAAGAGTAGGGTGCCAAATGTCATGCCTCCAAAAATGAGAGGGGGTCCCTGCCTGCCCCACCTCTTCCCGTTCCTTCTCCCAACATGACAGCTGTAGACATTTTGAGGTTTAGTAAGATGGATGGTGAGTACAGGAGAGGGGTCTGTTCTTCAAGGTGCCACACCTGTCTGCAAAAACTTTAACAAGAACTGAGCGAACAAAGGAAATAGGGAAAGGACAAGAAGGGATTATGGTCTCTCACAGGAACTGGCCATATGAACCTCTTCACATATTATGAATGTGAAATAAGAAATATATATTTTGAAGAACATCACCTACGTGTGACTTTAAATGCCAGCATTTGTTGGTTTTACAACTGTGAAAAGTATTTACAGATCTCGATATTGTGTCAATAGGAAAGCATTTGGTGACCAAGTGGGAATCCACCATCTGTTCTGCTGATTGACTGTGGCTTTTCAACAAGTCTAGAATAGTAGGACATTGTGCTTACTGAATGTTTGCTGTTGTTTTGCATTTATACAAAATGTGTGTTTATAAAAACAAGAACAAATAATTCTGCTTACTATGTTGTAGGCTACCACTTACAAAAAGGGGACTATCAAATGTCAGATTATACTTCTGGAGATCTCTAAATGCTAATGGTTCTTTATTGTACAGCTATAATGTTACTCATAAACATCATTCACATTTAAACTGTACTGAGTCCATTAATTTGATATAGTACTAACGCTTTTAAATAGTTGCCATAGGACTACATTTGATTTTACAGAGTCAAGAAATAGCAAACGTTCGATTGGTGGACATCTTGAGTGCATGCCTGCAACACTGACCACGTGACACGTGCAGACAAGAGTTCCCGCCATAGCTTAAAACAGACGTATAAACCGTTTTAATGTATATGGCATAAACTTGCTAGGTAGCTAGCTAGCTTAGCATATTGAAGAATAAAACACTGAACCTAGAGATGAAGAAGTTTACAGCAGTAAATCTGGACAAGCTTATTGATGATTTCACTCATCTGGAACAGGTAACTTTAACATAAAGTAGGAGGACCTAGCTAGTTATTCAGGTAGGTAGCTAGCTAGCCAGTGAGTAACCAAGCTAGCTAGCTAACTAACTCTTAAAATAGCCTACTATGAACAAGCTATGCTGAACTTGCCTTAAATTAATCCTGTCATGAAAGTGGCAGTAACAACAGCTCCCCCACTTTTCCTAAGGATGTCAATGTATGCATGAAAGCTGTTTAAAAAGCTGGGGCATATTTATTCAGTCCTTTTATCATTTATCTTTATTTGTTTCAAAGAAAATTACAGAGCTCAAGGGTAAAAACAACATATTGGAGATCAAGTTGGATGAGACCAACAGAGTTCTGAAATTTTCACAGACCAAAGAGAAGTGCTTGACTGAGGGTGAGGATTCTTATGCATTCAAACTCTTTCATCCATGATCTGCGGCCAGCAGGAGCCTAGCAGTTAAGAGCGTTGGGCCAGTAACTGAAAGCTTGCAGTTTCGAATCCCAGAGCCGACTAGGTGGAAATCTGTCTGTGCCCTTAAGCAAGGCATTTAATCCTAATTGCTCCTGTAAGTCGCTCTGCTAAATGACTGAAACGTAAAAATAAATACAAATTAAATGGATTTTACTGTAGCCACACATCTGGATTGTGTTATCTTTAGTGATGGGGTAGCACTTTGGTCTTGTTTGAAATGCCAACAAAGTGACCAATAGCAATGTTGGTATTTACATTGGTACTTGAACTTTTACAAAAGTCCAGTTCCAATGAAAATGAAAATGTAAAGAATGTATCTTCTCAAAGTATGGTGAATAGGTCTAAAATTCTATTTTAAATAACTATATTTAAAGTGTGTGTCTCCCTCTAGTGGTCTTATATGTAATGTACAATTAGTCCACCTGATGACGTCATTGTCTCACAGAGCGAGATGGGATGTTGGGGACAGTGAACGGACTCCAGCAGACTCTACAGCAGCAGTGTGACCTCAGAGGTAATAGTCTCTCCTCTGTAAGGCACTCTGGTCAACACATCTTTAGTGTACACTATTTCTATTGTCTGAATCCAAGATGTAAACTGTTGTAATACACTTGTAATTCAATTGTAATAAACATCATTTTATCTTACAGTGGAGAATGAAAAGTTGAAAAGCACTGTGTCAGATCTGAAAAGGCAGAGTGAGAGGACAGTAGAGGTGAGGGCAGAATGATTGAATAAACTGAATCTGAACATTTCATTCTTGCACAATAAAATAGCTTGGATTCAAAATTGACACAATAGAACAGAGAAACTGAATATGTTGCCATTGCTTCCCCCTTGTGGCTGGTTGTGGTCAGGAGCGGGAAGCTGAGGTTCAGAGGCTGGTGGCAGAGATGAGAGATGTGGTAGAGAGACACCAGAAGGAGCTGGAGTCTTTGAGAGAGCAGTGCAGGAGAGGGGTAGAGGGCACTCACAGAGAAACACAGAGCAAACGTAAGAACACATTACACAAACCCTTCCTTTGAGTGATCATCAATCCTGCTCATGGAGCTGCAGTGTTGCAGGTTTGTATCCCAGATTAGTGCAACCACACCTGATTTCAATTTATCAACTGATTTTCAACACACCTAAAGCTGAAGCATGTGTCTCACTACTGAGCTGGGACAAAAACGTGCAGCTCTGTAGTAGTATTGAGGATCACTGGACTGTGGCATTCCATCTCTGAAACAGAATGACCTACAACAAAATGTCACACATACAACAAAATATTACATATTTAGAGCCCCCTGTTTGTCTTATGTTGTCTTTTTTGTGTGCAGTTGAGGCTAAAGATGCAGAGCTGAAAGAGGCCATGGAGAGAAAGGAGTCAGATATGGGGGAGATGAGAAGGATAATGAGGGACCAGGAGAGAGAGAGGCAAAGTGAAATATTAAAGTTACAAATGGAGGTATACAGACTGGCAGTACAGTGCTAAGGAATTATGTGTGTAACCTGTTTTTGATTGACAGATCAGCAGATATATGGTTTTATAGTAATAGGCAAAGCTGCTCTGTGTAAAGATGACTGCTATTTTAGTCATCTGATACATACTGTAGGTAGACCAGCTTGCAGTCACAGTGATTTACTTCTGTTTTTTACAGGCAGGATAGTGCAAAGGTACATGTGGTTTTGATTTGATGCTCTGGGTAAAGATGTACATGACTGAGTTTAATGGACAGATGAATCCTAACACTATTTATTCTGCTGTCAGTTTGGTGCTAAGCTTGCCAGGGTGCAGAGTACCACACAGAGGATCCAGCAGCAGCCCCAGGGCTCAGGTCTTCTACCTCAGAACATCTTCAAACGGGTGAGGAGCCTCCGACCACGTACTAAGCCAACACTTCACACAGAGATTAGAGCTTGAAGCAACCTGTGTCCACTATGGAGAAGGGAACTCTTGTTTCTTGATGTTGCATGTGTTTCTCCTGTGTTTCTGTATGTATGGCCTACCTGTGTGTTTGTTGATGTGCTCCCAGAAGTTCCAGTTCCTTCAGGAGGAGAAGAACAGAGAGGTCGAGGCCCTGCGCCAGAGAATCAAGGAATTGGAGAAGCAGCACGCCAGCGGATTCAGTGACTCCCGTCTAAAGAGAAAGAAGATTTAGCATGTTTAAAATATGCAGGAGAAAAATTCATCTACAATAGTGCCTTTGTATGCTTTTTGGTATAGTGTTCCTGGTGTTTGCTTGACTGCAGTCATGTTGGTTTGTGAAAATATTTTCATGACAACAGTTTTGTGAGTGATAATTTTTTATTCACTTTGTATTCTACCTATATTTGAAAGTGCATTTGGAATTTGAGTTTCATTTTACATAGAATGAGGGTTAAGTGAATCACAACAATTCTCATGAATTCGTACATTAGAACAAGCAACCATTTCATCAAATAATGGTGCTTTGCTGCAGAAGAGTGTTATCACTGCTGAATTCTGCAGTCTACATTGCCAACCCTATGCTCCTTCTGGTGACGTATGGAGAACTGGCATGGGTGTTTTAACATGGGTCCTCTACACATGTAAATACAGTCTGTCTATTCAAGACCTTAATCCAATCAGCACAGATAGACGTCTGGCCGCCCCATGCACCAGCCATCCCCAGAGAGTGAGAAGAAACCAACTGTTCCTTTACTTAAGATACCTGGAAGACTGCCCCATTTAAAGAATTAAGACGCTGTGTACCCTCCAGGCCCAGGCAATGTCAATTAATGTGTCTTTATTGACCTCATTCATTTGCATCTCTAAACAGTAGTTGAGTCGTTCTACGAAATGAGTGCCTTTTGATAGTTTAAATAGCAATTGTGCACCAATATTGAATTTTAAAAGCCTGTTATATTAATTCAAGTGCCCTTTAATATAGACCACATGGAGAATTCAATAAATCAGATTTTTGATATGAATAAAGACTTGCACCCTCTGTTACTTCTAGGAAGATTTTAATCCACTTAATCCCAAAATTTCGCCAAATTTTCACCATCATTGTAAAGCTCTAGTTATTTTGTTGCTTTGACAAAGTCATTTCTGAAGATTATTATTTATTTCATGTGATTAGTGATTCATTTACATCGGTCCCTCATTTTATGGTCAACCCTGTTACGTGAACTGAACTCTTGTTTTAATGTGGTTAAACTATTCCTTTTTAGATCTTTTTTTCAAAAGAAACATTGAAAATCTAATAGTCAAACCATAGTGTAAAAGCAGGTGAGCTGGCGCTGCAGACAGATATATCGGTCTGCTAATACAGGACTATTAAAGGTCCAGTGCATTACCTTTGTGAAAAAATATTTAGATTTTTCAGGGGGTGCTGCAGCACCCCTACTTCCTGCGGCTATGCACAGGGGCAGTACACCTGAAAACCAGGGGCTGCAGCTGAGCAACTTGTTTTCGTTAGATTTACTGTAATCTCTTTATCTGTGGTGTGCTGTGTGTCTTGTGAAGGGAGCAGGCTAAACTAATCTCACTCTGGGAACATCCCTCTGATCCTCACGTCTCTCGCTACAATCAAGAGGTAAACCTTGTGTGGCATGGACGGAAGCCCTTTGGTTGCATAGGACAGGTGTTCTCTAACCTACAGTCAAGGCTAAAGGGTCCAAAAATACACATTCCTTCACCTTTCTAAAATCCTAGTGCAGTGCACATACATATGTGTTATGATCCCATCTACCCTTATTCTGCATGCTCTGTAGCCTTTTACATTAGCATCTTGAGGGGATTGGGATACATCTAAATAAATCTTAGGGATTAGACTGCATGACACCACCTTGATCCTAAATCTGCAAGGGGAGGGGAGAGGAGACTGTGTCAGAGACAGGGGTGAGGAAAATACTGTGCTATGAGTTCATTTGACTTTTGACTCTGCAGCTTGAATAGGATGATGCTTCCCATGACCGTAACCAGGGGTACAGCTCAGAGCTGTGGAGATCAAAGAGAATAGCAATAGACATATTCTGAGGCAGTTAGTGGAAATCTAAGGCTACAAGCTAAATGGAGTTGGATATTTGCATTTCAGAGTTGACCAGACATTGAGGAGCATTGGGGATCTCTTTTTCCATCTCCCGCTAGTTCCATAGAAAGGATTTGATAGATTTTACCATGACTTCTGAAGCTGTTGTGTGGGGATCCATAAATGCTGAGAGACTTGAAATGGGATTAAATCCGAGCGACTGTGTTCAAACTTGAAGGTGAGATATGCAAAAAGGTGTTCTCTCTTTTCAAACTGGGATTATCATATAAAGCATTGTAAAACACTGATTAAAACTTTATTTGTAGTACATCAAATGTTGATGCATTGTAACTATTATAATATAATAATATAATAAAGTTATGTCATCATACTATTGACTATTGGGTTCTCAAGATGACTGTTCATATTCTATTTCCTGTCCACAGTCCATTACCTGTCATGCCCTGAGCCCTGAGTAGCACTAAGGATGCCAGGGGGCCAGTATCAGATGTCTTCCAGGAGGCCTCGCCCCAGCCGCCATAGCCTGTCAGTCAGCTCAGAAGGTGGGCAGGATGAGGAGGAGGCCAACCCTCCCAAACGCCTCACTCCCCTGGAGAGGCTCACCACCGAAATGTGTCAGGATGAGCAGACCATCAAGGAGCTGATCTTGGGCCGTAGGATTGGCTTCTACAAGGTCCGTGGTGAGATTGGCTCTGGAACCTTCTCCCGTGTCAAAATGGCCTTCCACGTCCTCACCAAAGGTAAAGGTCACACTTCTGACCATACAGAATTTCATCAACAACTTATCATTGCAACTGGAATGTATCATACATGTAATGATGATAACAGCAAAGTAATTCATTAGTGTGACTGTGAAACCACCACAGTAAAGCATGTTGAAACTAAACTGAGGAAAACACCTGTCTCAAATTATCCAACATCTGACTCTCTCCTTCTCACCCCCAGACAAGGTGGCAATCAAGGTGCTGGATAAGACGCGGCTGGATGTTCAGGCCCAGAGGCTACTCTCCAGGGAGATCTCCTGCATGGAGGCCCTGCAGCATGCCAATGTTGTGCGTCTTTACGAGGTGGTGGAGTCACACAGCCGCCTCTACCTGGTGATGGAGTACGCCAGTGGAGGGGACCTCCACACACACATCTGCTCTAAGGGCAGGCTGTCAGAAGCAGAGGCCAAGATCACCTTTGCACAAATCCTGTCTGCCATCAAACATATGGTCAGTAGTATTCAATTTAATTTACATATAGGATCAGCAATATGATCACAGGTCTTATTAAAGTCCAATACAGAATTGAAATAAAATATATTATTTTAGTCAATTTGAATAGTCAAATTATCTCATACAGTATGTCAATTGTTCGTGTTTGCAGCATGACAAAAACATCATCCACCGGGACCTGAAGGCCGAGAATGTACTGTACACCTGTAATGGCTGTGTGAAGGTGGCTGACTTTGGCTTCAGCACCAGGGTCATCAACCGCAGCGACACCCTGGACACCTTCTGTGGTTCTCCCCCCTACGCCGCTCCTGAACTCTTCAGGGACGATTGCTACGTGGGGCCACCAGTGGACGTGTGGGCCATGGCTGTCCTGCTCTTCTTCATGGTGACCGGCACCATGCCCTTCCAGGCTGACACCATGGGCAAGCTGAGGCTCGCCGTTATAGAAGGGGTCTACATCCTCCCGCCCTGGGTACCAGGCCCGTGCCAGCGGCTGATCCGGGGCATACTGAAGCCTGTACCAGCGGATCGTTATGCGGTGGACCAGATGTTGGGCTGTGACTGGCTGCTCCCTGTGGAGTACCCGTGGACAGTGGTGCCACCGGTCCCCCTCAACCCTTTGCGCCTGGCAGATGCAGAGCCTGGGGAGCTGGATGATGAGGAGGAGGAGATCAGGGCCTCTCTGGAGGAGTTGGGTGTCAACATGGAACATATACGCAACAACCAGGGCAAGGGCAGCCGCAGCCCCATCACCGGACTTTACCGTATCCTCTTACACCGCGCCCAGAAGAGGCGTGGTGCCGAGACTGTGCCAGTGATCAGAGGGTTGATCCAGGACCCTAAGAGAGAGGGCCTCCGAGCCTACAGAGGTCTGATGCACGCCTCCAAGTTATGTGTCCTTCAGTAAGTGACAAGCCTGGACATGGGTCCTTATGTAAACCTGCTTTAATCCATTGAACATTCACTCAGCATCATACAGCTACAAATGTTCTATTGAAATGTAAAAATAAAAAAAACGTGTTTTGTGTGTATGTAAGACAGGAACCTCTGTATACGAACATTTGTGGTAACACACAGATACTGAAACATTGGCCTGAAGGACTGATGTCTCTAACAAAGTATTTGTGTTATTTTGTTATCTATTCTTTTTTTATCTCAGCATAGCTTGTTCTCTTTTCTATTATCCACTATTGTCTACTGTACACTGCTCTGTTATATTTCTTATATTGATATTGCACTGTTGATGAAGAGCTTAAAAGTAAAACATTTACATAAATTTAGCAGACACTCTTATCCAGAGCGACTTAGTGAGTGCATACTTTTTTTTTCTTTTTTTTTTCATACTGGCCCCCCGTGGGAAACGACCCTGGCATTGCAAACGCCATGCTCTACCAACTGAGCTACATCCCTGCCGGCCATTCCCTCCCCTACCCTGGACCAATTGTGCGCCGCCCCATGGGTCTCCCGGTCGCGGCCGGCTACGACAGAGCCTGGATTCGAACCAGGATATCTAGTGGCACAGCTAGCACTGCCTTAGACCACTGCGCCACTCGGGAGAACATCTCCTGTATCCTGTGCACATGACGAATAAACTTTGATTTGAAGTAAGATTGTTATAATACAATAATATATGCCATTTAGCAGACACTTTCATCCAAAGCGATTTACAATCATGCGTGCATATATTTTTCACGTAGGCCTATGGGTGGTTCCCGGGAATCGAACCCACTATCCTGGCGTTGCAAGCACCATGCTCTATATGAGATATGAAATAGGGGTGTAAAAGTGGCTAATGAAATGAGCCCCATCAAAGTCAATTTAAAAAGCACCCTTATGTGATATTTATACTTTTATTCATAGCACAATAGACTGCATGAAATACGAAGAATGTGCTGAAAGAGTATTGCTTAAAGACACTCCTTCGTTGTTTGCTGAGATCATAGATAGTCTCTGAAATCCGGATGATTTTTTGGTTTGATTTTTTGGTTAACCTGAGAGAAGATTGATTTTGCACAGGTGCTTGTCTCTATTATATTCGACCACCAAATTGAACTTCTACCATTGTGAACTTATTCATGCTTGCATTCCTAAATATTTTCGATATAGTGCTATAAAGACTTAATTGACATTCATTGTTTTGTTAACCTGAAACAGGTGGGTTTCAAATATAGGCTAATGCCTATGCAACCAAACTTAGGGCTACAATCCAGCATCCTTGTATGAAGTGCATCCAAAAGCCAATGTCCTGCTAGACCCCGTATAAACAATAGCCCACACCACCTGGCAGAGCAGCATATGATAGCCGGCCCCCAATCTAAGCCCCCAAACCAGTCTACTCCGGCCCCCGTTGCACGCAAACTACCCTCAACTCCTCCTTCGTCAGACGCCCAACTGCAGAGAGCGACAGATGGCCCGGCGTGGCTATGGAGACATCTGCCGGTCCAGCGAACGTCATACAATAGCCCCTCTGTGTGGACCGCTGGATGTAACAGCAGAGTGCCCTGCTATTGTGCGCCCCCTATACACATGCAGATCAGCCGAGAGGGGACGGAGGGAATACATAATTTTACTGAAGGGATAACAGTGAGCAGTTGACAGACTTTAGAACCTGCTATGCAAATTTGCCCGAAATCTTTGTCAACCCAATATCCTCCCCACCTTCTGCCAACATAAGTAGGACTACCCTCCAAACTTAATAACGAAAGTGAAAATACATGACAAAAAATATAATATGCATTCAGTTTTATTAGGTTATTAGTTTTTTCATAAACATTTCTTAAGTAAAACATTGAATGAATAACAAATCAATATCTTATTTTTCATTTTAAACATAATGAAATTTTCTTAACTATAAACATTGAGAACATTGTAAATTAATTTATTGGGGGGGGGGGGGGGCAAAGTTAATCAACACATTCTAAAGTGAAACCTTTAGAGCATTATAAGTTGCCCAATTTCTTAAATGTTGATTTGTTTTGACAACGTTAAACGTTCTAAAGTTAAACCTTTAGAGCATTAGGCCTATAAATTAATATTTTTTCTTATCTTTTTAAAATACTATTATTTTTTGCCATTATTACATTTCTAAAGTGAAACCTTTAGAGAAATTAAGACAATTCTGGAAAGTGGGAAACATTTCGCTGAATGCAACGGTTGTTATTGCTGCTCAGCAAGAAGACATTTTTTAAAAAAGTCCCTTTTTAAGAACGCTTCTTCTTGGCACCGCTTCTTCTCCTACTGCGCGTGCTTCAACGTGCGACGTTTGCTCTGTGGACCACAAGATGCAGAACTCGCTTCTCCTTTCTCTCCAAACCTCATCCGCACAAAGAATGAGGGCCGTTTTTGTCGCTCTCGTGGCATACCTGACCTCATTCACATAAAGAATGGAAGTCATCTTGGCATGGACGGGACAAGAGACAACGAATCGCGGGGGCCACTCGGGCCGGCCACGCGCTGCCTGGATCGGAATCCTCCTCAGGAGTATCCAGGGATGAGAAACAGTGTCATCCTGTAAAAGGATGAGTATTTCCTTATAGGTTGAAGGTTTACAGCATCTCAAGAGAGAAGAGTCAAGTCCCAGATCAGCGCTCAAGGAGGGTGATCTCTGGAACCCAGTCGTTCAGACTGTGGCTCTCCTCACAGAACAGGTGCAGCTTCTCCAGAGCAGCGTCCTCCCAAGAACCATCAGCTGGGTTCTGTTGACAAACAAGTGGGGAAAGGAACATTAGTCACATGGACACAATGAACAGTTCATAACATTCTCTATTATTAAATGTTTAAATTAAGTCAGTTTGAGTTGTAATGTAACATACCGTGATAAGACAGCAGTGGGCATCTTCAAGCTGGCCAGCCTTGTCACCAACAATCTCAGCCAGGCGCTGCATGTTGTTCACTCTGACGATGCTGATGTCGTTGTCAAAACAGAAAGACTGGATGAGGGTGAAGTGGATCTGGAGAGCAATGTCACACTCCCACTCCTCATCGGTGGCCAGAACACAGAAAGACACGCTGTCTGGGTCACTGTAAAGAAAAAATAGAAGCACCATAAGTATATGCAAAATGACTTCAAAATGAGCAAAACATAGATATAATTTATAAGTTTACATTGGTATTTCAAGAAAGTCATACTTACACGTTCATAACTTTAGCAGACTCGTAGACACCAACCGTCAGGCAGTCATTTTCTTTAGCAGAGAGCAGAACTTCCTCTAGTGCTTTGCTGGTGCACTGGGCACGCTCAGCGGACTTCTGGATCAGAACTTCCTCAAGAGTCATGATGATGCAGAATATTCCAAAAGGAACTTCGTAAGTGAGAGAGAGGTAGTGTAGTCGGAGGGTAAATCCGAATAGATTGGTGATTCTGAATGGACTGTGCTGTGTTTTTATACCCTTGGGCTCGTGGCCCGTGTGAATACACAGCGCTCTGATTGGTTGACCTGAATGGTGCATTGGTATGCTAATGCCATTGTCCCACTCTGGCTCATGGCAGATTGATAGGGGTCATCATGGCACGTCTTTTTCTCTGCCAGGCATGCTCTCCAACCGAAAATAAATAATTTTGCATTACGTTCAGATGCATTTATAATATTTCGACTTTTCTCTATGTTTAAACTAGAAACATAGAGATTTTGGCTGTCATATTTTGCAAGTTTACTTGAGTTTTTATAGTTTCACATGCTGCACTGATGCCAATGGCCTCGAGAGATGCTTTTATCAAATCAGTCTATAAGCCTACTGAAACTAAACATTCAAAGAATGGCAATTGAATAATCAAACTGCATAAAGTGCTTAAAAGTGCCCAAATTGTCTCTGATTAAGATTCTGTAAGCTAAGTTTCAGTTTTAGGTGAAAGTGTGTCCAAACATCAACAATAGCATAACATGGTGAAAGTAAAGTGTGCATAAGGCGCACCATCCCCCCTTTTGGAGAAGGCAGGTGGCCATCTGTAGAACCTGACCAAAAACGCCACCTATTGTGTCCGCAGAAACTCCTATTATCACGCTCTCCATACAAATGCAAATCAACCGCGCGTGCCAGGACGCTGTGCGTGCCGCACAATCTGCACTGCTGGCCTATACTGACCACGTGATCACCATCAGTGGTCCGAAATCTCTGCATGGTTTTATTTATTTACTTTTGACACATGGACCAATGAAGATCCATACTTTTCCATAAAAGTAATTCTAAAAGTTGAGCAGCTGGCACGATAACCATTCAGGCCAAGTTATATTGGCAGGGTAAAGCCTATGCCCAAATCCAGATATTGCACAATATATTAATGATCCTTTATTACAATATAAACTATCAACAGGTAGCCTAAGTATAAAGAAACACATGTACCTTACAGGCATATTTCAAGCCACTGCATTTGGACATGGGCACACTGTTATCCACTTTGGTGACATTTAACGTGCATAAAATAATCTAGAATTGGCCTGCTGCATGCGTAATTCTATAATTCTAGAGGGTAGGTGATTGATTCAGCTCCATTGTTTGGTGGATAGCAGAGCGGCAGATGGAGGACTGTCGCTATGAGGACACCCCCTGTCGCCCTGGCTGACCTCGACCCCGAGGCGCGCCGCTCCTGTTGTCCGCGAGTCTTTACATTCACTGGAAGAAAAAGTCTGTTGTCTGAGTTTTGATCCAATTTAAATGTGAATAAAGCGAGCGTATGGTCAAAATGTACGACTATGAATCTCTGATAGGCCTAGTCTTATCTTTAAAAGAGGCCACGTGCCTGAGTTGCAGCACAGGATTAAATCCTTCCGAAATGTTTGGAGTAAAAACACATACAAAGAATAACAAAAATATACTGATTTGATCGAACAATGTTATTTTGCTACAAAACAAACGAATTGATTGTGGCAATTAGAGTTTATCATCATTGGTTTATTATCAATCAATCATTAGTTGAGAAGTTTAAATGGCTGATGCACAACAGTTTACAAACATAACTGATAGGGTTCCTTGAATCAGAGTTTGATTAATCTGATAGCATCTCAAATACTCTTTTTTGGAAGGATCAACTCAGCATGGCAACAGGGCAGGCGCGTGCAAGTCGATATACGACACATTGTTCTTGAAGTAGCACATCTGTCGGACTGGGCCCCCTCCCCAGTAGCGCTTGACAGGTGTTCCTGGCTCAAGTCATGGCTTGCTCGGGCAAATTACATTTTTCACATTGAGCCATGACTCAATGCAAATGAAAATTAGCCAAAGCATACAACCAGACAAACCATACTTTCCATTAGCAAATAGCAAGCAACGATCTATTAATTTAGTAGTGGCTGACTGCTGGTGGCAATCATGTTGGTTCTTAGGAGCCTATAATAATAAAATGGGGTATACAAGATTAAGTTGGGTTTGTAACTTGCAAGTTGAAACACTGTGGTCACAACGTAGGATACTTTGGGTATACTATGCAATAAAATAATATAGGGAAAGCTGTGAGACTATATTGCAATCTCCAAACTATTGCGTTTGCCTCTGTATTTTTTAAAATCAATTCATAATCAAATCAAATTTTATTGGTTGCATACACATATTTAGCAGATGTTATTGCGGGTGTAGCGAAATGCTTGTGTTCCTAGCTCCAACAGTGCAGTAATATCTAACAATACACAACAAGACACTAATCTAAAAATAAAATAATGGAATTAAGAAATAGATACGTTTTAGGACGAGCAATGTGGAGTCCGGTGTATAAATATATATAGCCTGTATGTGATGGGATGTATAGACATTGTGGACAGTATGTGGATAGAATATGTAGTATAGCCTATCTGATGTAGGATAGAATAGTATATGTACAGCAATAGTTGAATAGGATTGCCTTGACTAGAATACAGTAGGCCTATATACATATGAAATGAGTAAAACAGTATGTCAACATTATTAAAGTGACCAGTGTTCCATTATTAAAGTGTCTATGTACATAGGACAGCAGGCTCTAAGGTGCAGGGTTGAGTAACCAGGTGGTACCCGGCTAGTGACAGTGACTATGTTCAGGGCAGCGTACTGGGTGGAGGCCGGCTAGCCGTGGCTATTTATCAGTCTGATTATCCATTTAGTAATGTGCGCTAACAATTTCTTATTTAGAGACAAACTTTTTGTGTTGGCTATGCATGATATCAGCAGCAGTCATTGGCCATTGTGCATTGTGGGTGCCGCCTTATCTCTGCTTGTATCATGCAGCAGTAGTTTCCTTTGTTGACCCCTCACCTTCCCCCACAGACAGATGGGATCTTGTTGCTATGGAGAGAGATGCAGGCATCTCCAGATGCCACGCGCCTGAAGTGAGCCCTGCAAAGCAGCGGAGCGTGCCATAATCGGATGCAAATAGAAACTTTGGGCCAATTCTGTTCTCCAATAATTGCCTATTCAGTTTTGAGTTATCTGGATATTAAAGTAAGTAACACAATAATATTTTGTGTCTAATTAAGTTTAGATGTCCAGAAATCTTTCTGACTACATAAAGTTGATATATATATATATATATATAATATAATATGCCATTTAGCAGACGCTTTTATCCAAAGCGACTTACAGTTATGATATATATATATATATATACTTACTCTATTTGAATCATGAAGGGTGCACCAGAAAAGTTTAACAAATGTAGAAGGTATAGCGATATCTTTATGTAGTTTGGAAGCCCTTAGTGTTCCACTTGGATATGTATGGTTATGGATTTTACAGTAGGTTAATAATCTCATCATTCAAACCGACCCTGCACGAGTCTGAATTAATTAATCCAGTACATCGGATAAAGGTCAGGGAGTTTCGCATTTGATCCATTCAATCGAAACTGCGCTGTCCTTTCTTCCATAGTTTTGTCTATAGACACGCGCCTGCTAGGGGGGTCGCTCGTGCATTGTCGCCCAGCAGCCAATCACAGAACGTGTGTGTGCCGGGGTCCTGCCTATAAATACTAGCTGTTTCTTACAAACAGCACAAACATACTGTACTTCTGTTAAATCCTTATCAACATCTCCTCAACTGAGCTCTACAAACTAACTATCTATCTTTAAGATGGAAGCTATTGGCAAATCTCTGAAAGAAGCTCTCAAGTCTGCCCAGTGTGAGGATCGCCTCACTGTTGGTGTCTATGAAAGTGCCAAAATAATGAATGAGTAAGTATTTTATCCACTAAATGTGTGCTTTGTGTGCTTTATTTATTATTTTCTTGACATTTACTCATTTACTGACACCATTGTGCTATTTTATGATGATGTTGACTAATGAAAGTTTATTTTGTCTATCTCAACAGTGACCCAGACAGCGTGTCTTTCTGTGTTCTGGCCACCGATGAGGAGTGGGAGTGTGACATTGCTCTCCAGATCCACTTCACCCTCATCCAGTCTTTCTGTTTTGACAACGACATCAGCATCGTCAGAGTGAACAACATGCAGCGCCTGGCTGAGATTGTTGGTGACAAGGCTGGCCAGCCTGAAGATGCCCACTGCTGTCTTATCACGGTATGTTACATTACAACTCAAACTGACTTAATTTAAACATTTAATAATAGAGAATGTTATGAACTGTTCATTGTGTCCATGTGACTAATGTTCCTTTCCCCTCTTGTTTCTCAACAGAACCCAGCTGATGGTTCTTGGGAGGACGCTGCTCTGGAGAAGCTGCACCTGTTCTGTGAGGAGAGCCACAGTCTGAACAACTGGGTTCCAGAGATCACCCTCCTTGAGCGCTGATCTGGGACTTGACTCTTCTCTCTTGAGATGCTGTAAACCTTCAACCTATAAGGAAATACTCATCCTTTTACAGGATGACACTGTTTCTCATCCCTGGATACTCCTGAGGAGGATTCCGATCCAGGCAGCGCGTGGCCGGCCCGAGTGGCCCCCGCGATTCGTTGTCTCTTGTCCCGTCCATGCCAAGATGACTTCCATTCTTTATGTGAATGAGGTCAGGTATGCCACGAGAGCGACAAAAACGGCCCTCATTCTTTGTGCGGATGAGGTTTGGAGAGAAAGGAGAAGCGAGTTCTGCATCTTGTGGTCCACAGAGCAAACGTTGCACGTTGAAGCACGCGCAGTAGGAGAAGAAGCGGTGCCAAGAAGAAGCGTTCTTAAAAAGGGACTTTTTAAAATGTCTTCTTGCTGAGCAGGATAACACTGTTGCATTCAGCGATATACTTCCCACTTTCCAGAATTGTCTTAATTCTCTAAAGGTTTCACTTTAGATGATTTAAATATGACAAAAAAAAGATTAAAAAGGAAAAAAAGGTACTTATAATGCTCTAAAGGTTTCACTTTAGACCTTTAACATGAGATTTATTTTTATTTTTATGAAAGATTATTTCAGTTGTTATTATCTAAAATGTTACAATATTGAACTCCTGATTAAGTCAACAACTAAAAAGAAAGATATATTACATTTGTTGTTCTCTAAAATGTTTTACTGTTGAATTCTTTATTATGTAAAAAAATAAGAAAGAAGATATATGAATGAATACATTTGTTATTTTCTAAAGGTTTCACTTTAGACATTTCTTGTATGACAAAATGATAAATAAAAAGTTGAATGTAAATCTTGGGTCTTGAATGTTCTATACATACTAAACTCACATTTAACTGTGGTAACAAATCAGTCTCCCAACCAGCATTTGTAAATAAACATTAGCACTTACACACTGTTTGGTGCTCTAACCACTACCCAACACCTGTACATCCCATAGGCCTGATGTACTGTGTTCTATCCTAATTGCCACATATCATCATGGCCTGTCATAGCCATGTATATGCAGTGTCGTTGTTTACAAACTACTGCCCCTGCAGGCCCATGTCTATTCTGACCCCTTGAAGCATCCACCTGTGAGAGGCCTATCTGGTAGTGGTAGTATATGTTTACAGCATCCCAAACCATTCTGTGTTATTATACAGGTTCAATTGAAGTGATCCCTATATGTTAGCCCTAACTTTCAGACCTCTCCTCCACCAACATACAGAGCTTCAATGATGGGGAGTAGTGAACTACATGTATTTCAACTAGTCATTGAATTACATTTTGCTGTAGCTTGGTGGTAGTTGAACTAAATTGAAATCTTGGTAGTATTTTCAGTAGTTCATTACTTTTTTGCCATGTAGTGGTGTAGCTAACTGCTGGAACTACACACTACTTTTTGTGCAAAAAGAACAGAAAATATGGGTAAAGTAGGAAAGATTTCCTTTCTTTTTCAGCATCAGACCTGCCTAATTCTCACTTGAAACTGTTTTTGTGTTTAATAAGCTAAATGATAGATTATGTTAACATCTGACTCCAGAGTGATCTGTCTTGCAATTTGTAGTCTATGACATTTCAGATTGAAATATAATTTTTCACAAAGTCGTTTGGATGTAGTAACTACTTTTACAAAGTAACTTTAGTGAAGTAAACTATATGTTTCTTAAGGGTAGCTTTAGTGTAGCTTAACTTCTTCCAGTGTGAAGTAAACTACATTTTCAGAGTAGCTTCCCCAACACTGCAGAGCTTGAGCCTGTGCCTTAACACCCATCACCACCACACATAGCAGCATATACAGTATAGCAGTACAGGATAACTACCTGCCACTAATCAGATGGCAGGTAACCAGAGTGATTGATCCTTAATACATTGATGATATATTGCCACTTGATGTCCTTAGCCACTTAAGAGTTGAGATATGGTTGAATGCCTTAATCATTGTCTCATATGGTAATTAGGCACATCTATTTACATTGCATTCATCATTTATCAAATTTCCTTACAGTGTTTATGACCTACTTCCAATTGCATGTTGCAGCAGGATTGGGATTAGAGTTATTTTGGTGCTGTGAACTAGAGTTTGCACCTGATTCTAACTTCTATTGTCAAGGTGTGTTTATAGGTGTTGTGCCTCTAATCAGTCCTGTGGGTACAGACTGCATGTGGTAGCTTTCAGTTTTGGGGAAGCTACTCATAAAATATAGTTTACCAAGCTACCAATTTCTTAACGCTGGAAGTTATTTAGCCTATTAAAGACAATAAGCTGGAAGTTATTTAGCCTATTAAAGACAATAAGCTGGAAGTTATTTATCCTATTAAAGACAATAAGCTGGAAGTTATTTAGCCTATTAAAGACAATAAGCTGGAAGTTATTTAGCCTATTAAAGACAATAACTATGCTTCAAGTGAGAATTAGGCAGGTCTGATGCTGAAAAAGAAAGGAAATCTTTCCTACTTTACCCATATTTTCTGTTATTTTTGCACAAAAAAAGTAGTGTGTAGTTCCAGTAGTTAGCTACACCACTACATGGCAAAAAAGTAATGAACTACTGAAAACACTACCAAGATTTCAATTTAGTTCAACTACCACCAAGCTATAGCAAAATGTAATTACATGTAGTTCACTACTCACCATCACTGGTAGATTCAGAGGCAGTGGATGGAGGATAGTGATGTTGCTAAATGTCTTATGGCTGTTAAAGATTCACCCAGATACAGGGTTCTACTTTTTTTACTGGAGTGGTGATGTGTGGTAGAGGAACCTTTGGTTGTTATTAGCTGATTTATCTATTGAGTTCACTCCTGACCTATGTGTCGGTGTGCTGCCAAATGCCTGCACCACATTAAGAGATGTGCAGTCCATGTGAGCTGTCTGGTTGAAACATTCAGTTGCCACTCTCAAATAAGGAGCAAAATATCCTAAGGGTGTTTTGTGCAATAGTATAAGAGTGACTGAGTAGCTATTTGCTTACCAAACACCTGAAGATGACAGAGAATAACAAAACCACTCCTATAGTAATTATAAAGTAATTACTCAATGCACATGTTTATATGTCACAGATGGACAAAACAAACAATACATATATCAAGCTTTTCACTGTGCTCTTTTGCTCCTGCCACACGCCATTTGTGAATAGCTGTCTTTCATTGGAAGTTCAGAACATTCTGTGGCTTTTTGCTTTTGGAAACAAACTCCAAAGTCATTCTGACCCAGCATGCTTCATGTCATTCTTAAGCATTGTGCCTGTATGTAGTAGTCAACAGCTGCCCCAGCCCTCATGCCCCCAACTCTGACCCTCCATCTCTGAATACCCCTCCTCTCCATCTCCTCCCCCCTCAGTAGCACTCCTATCTGACCTCCAGATCTGCAGCCCTGCACTAAGCTGCCAAATGCAGCCATCAAATCAGCCCCCCAGAATGGTGTGTTTAATTAGTGGCCAAGTGCAGTGTGTGTCAGTGTGCAGCCGGCGCTATTGTTTCCCGTCAGACAGTGAGCGCCTGCAGACTACGAACCCAACCGAACCCCCAACCCCCCAAAAACCTACTACCAACACCCCAAATCTGCCCAGCAATCAGACCACAAACACTGATTCCATCTGCTGCCCCGCATAATGACAGAGAGGAGGAGAGAGGAAAGAGGAGGATAAAAAAGAGGGGTAGAGCACTGTGCCTGGCACAAGCCAGCTCTCATTCATCCATTCAACCCCTCCCCCCATCTTTACTACTAACCCCCCCATTGAAGTGGCAATACAGAGGGTGTCCTTGCAGGAGAAAACCAGAACATAGCTGTAGTAGGAGTAGTAGGCTGCTTTATCCACTTATCTGCACTGAGAGAGAGATTGAAGCCCAATGCAATGTTAATAGCAATACCCCCATGAGGTTCATGCACTGATATGAAAGCATGTGCTCTGCAGCTATGCATCCCAACAGGGCTGGTGCTCTCTCTGTCTTTCTATCTCTGCACTCCACAGCTGCTCTGATATGTGCAGTGTATATGTGTAGAGGGGGGCGGCAGAGGGTACTTTAATTGCCCTGTGTCACAATATTTCATTATCTGTCCCCCCTTCCACACAAACCAGGTTGCCCCCCGCCTCAACCCGTTTTACAAGGGCTCTGTTCCATCCACATGGCTCTTCTCAAGTGTCTTTTCAAAACTAATGGCCCCCTCTCTCTCTTCATAGTGAGCTGAAGACGCCCCAGGAGCGGCAGATGGTGCTGAGGGAGGAGGATGTGATGGGGGGAGGACATCTTCCCCCCCCCCTGTCTGCAGTACCAGTGAGTTTCTGTTTGGTTCTATTTTTAGGGACAGTCAAATAAATTATTCGATTAGAATGATTAAAGGGTCAGTGAATGACCACCTTTTAAAAAATTTTAATTTAATTGTTTTAAAAAAATTAGGGGGTAGATCAGCTTTAATATTGCAGATAGATTGTAACTTCCATCAATGTAATTGTCTGCATCCCTTCCAATCCCCCATATGTTTTTTCTCCCTGCATATATATATATATATATATATATATATATATGCATACACATACATATGCACACATACATATACTGTAAATACATATTACTTTCCAACCCCACCACCCCTCCCCTAATTGGAGTAAAATAGAGAACAACAACAATGCTTAGGCCTCTACTTCCAGCTTATACATACTATATACATTTTATGGACACAGTCAATTTTACAATAACTATATTTTGTTTGTTTTTACTCCTGAACTTCCTCTACCCTCAACCTCTCCGATCATTTTCATGATGTCCATCCGGTTTTGTCACGACTTCCTCCGATACTGCCTCCTCTGCTTGTTCGGGCAGGCTTCGGCGTTCATCGTCACCGGCCTTCTAGCCACTGCCGCTACTCATATCTTCATTCCATTTGTTTCGTCTTGTTTATTACACACACCTGGTTCATATCACCTCATCAGTACCTGTATAAGTGCTCCCTCTGCCCCCTAGTCTTTGT